GTTCTTAGCAGTAAGATGGTGGTGACAAGACATAGGAAGTGTCATACAGGAGTCCGCAGAGTAGTGGAAAGCTAGACGCCTCTGTGGGTCTGGCACTGCTTGTGTCCACATATGTTGTGTACAGTGCCTTTTTGATGTGGTTCTATAACATAAATTTTAATTACTATTGCTGGGACACATTGAAAATGTGCTAGGACATAGAAGCAGATGATCATAAATATAAATATTTCATTATTTTAGGAAAAAAGCAGTCCATAAAATGAGTGCTTAATAATGCAAACCAGGTTTCAGATCCAGGATGTAGACCTAAGGGTCGCATCTTAGCACCGACTATAACAACAAAAATGCCGCAGACTGGGCTGGGTGGCTTAAACAATGGAAATTTATTTTTTCACTATTCAGGAAGCTTGGAAGTCCAAGATCAAGGAGTTGGCAGGGTCGGATTCTTCTCTCCTTGGCTTTAGATGGCTGTCTTCTCATGGTTGTCCCTCTGTCCGTTCTGTGTCCTAAGGACCTCTTCTTATAAAGACATCAGTCATATTGGATTAGAGGCCCACTCCAGTGACCACATTTAACCTTACTTATCTATAAAAGTCTTACTTCCAAAAGCAGTCATATTTTGAGTTACTAGGGATTAGAGCTTCAGAATATGATTTCTGAGGGGACAGAATTCGGCCCATAACAATGAGGTGGTTTTCAGGCACAGGCCTTGCTGAAGAAGAGACAAGCACAGATTCGTCCTCTGGGGAATCTTCCTCAGGCCCAGTGCCCAGTCCACCTCCCGGGCCCCAGACTGTGCAGCCCTCTACTAGGGCCGCCATGTGCCAGGCACTGTCCAGGACTTCCCACAACTAATCAAGGACAGTCTCCCTTCCCTCTTACGTGTCACCTCTCTCTGGTGTGTTTGGAAAGGTGTGAGGGCAGGAAGAGATGGGCTGTCCCCACGTGGTCCCGAGCTCCTGCCTGACTGCTTGTCCTCCCCGGGTGCTCCTTCCTGCTCTGCCAGGGGCCTCTCCTCTCTCCACAGCTGACCGCAACTCAGGGGAGGTAAAAACTGGGCAGATCACACCTCTCTTTCTGGCCCCATCCATTACTCCACTTTAGAGGGCGTGGTAGTATGTGAATTCCACCATGAGGTTTCTACCTTGTGACCTAATTACCTTTCAAACCTCACCCCCAAATACGATTACACTGGGGTTACATTTGGGGATTTTCCACATGGAATTTGGGAGGGGGAGTGGATCACAGGTGTTCGGAATACAGTAGGTAACTAACCTTTGAAAAGTCTAATTTCGTGTGGATTTGGTTTCATGAATTGTGAATTGATATAGATTGAAACATTGAAAACAGGCTCTGAGTATCCACAGTCCAGTCTAAGAGAAACATTTGAAGCTTTTGGGACAGATTGATGTTGTAGGGAGTACACGTGCAAGTTGTAACAGATGTTCGTCTTTAAAAAAAATAATACTTATATGGAGAATTTTTAAAATATTTAAAATGATTTCCTATGAACCAGGCTCTCTCTGCAGGCTGCTAAAAGCCACTGAGTGCTGGGGAAGTGGGGCGGCTTAAAGGGCTCAGCATGAAAATCTCTACAACTAATCCAATTTTGTCCCTTAACAGCACATCTTGCAGGCATGAATTAACCACTCTCTGGGTGCCACTGTTTTCCTTTTCTTTTTAATGGTTATGTTTTTCATCAGGCTCCTACTCACCAACCTGAAAAGGATGTTTTGACGATTGGCTAATATTATTATCTGATGGAATATCAACCAGCCATTGAAATTAGCCATTCAAGTAGCTGAGTTGTGTACCCTTAGAAAATTGTTCGAGTAGGGACTAAAAGAAAATTCATAGATCCAATTTTTCCATTACATAGGTCTTCTGCCTTCTGATAATTTCTGTTTATTGAGGTCAGTTGCCTATAGGGAGGAAGGAATGCATCTATTTATCTGGACTAAATGGATCACTATTTGTAGAGTTGATAAAAACTTTTTGGGGACACTAGATATATTTTAATTTTTATTGTCAGTTTTTAACCATGTAAGCTGAATAACTATGTACTTAGAAACTTCTTGACTTGGACTGCTTTTGAGTCAACTCTGACCCCAGTTCTAGGTATTTCCTATGAGACTAGTCAGAGCACTGGAATGCTTTGGATTAATTTACATACAGCATTCATGAACAAAGAAAACTTCTTCAATGATGAGCATTTTATAATCGGGGCTATCACTTGAAATAATTTGTCCACATATCATAAAATGTCTTTATTATGAAAGACGCAGAACGTTACTGAGTAGCACTTGTCTGTTGCTGTCTGTAAACCAGGAGCCATGCTCTGCTCTGCTCATCACGCACATCTAACACAGGAACGAGTGCTGTACTCTGCTTTAGAACATGTCCTAGCAGCAACCTCTCCTCCCTGCTCCCACCACACTGTAGTGTAAGAGTAACGAGCGAAGGCTGTGGAATCAGCCCTGGGCTTGAGTTCCCGATCTGCCACTGACTAGCTGTGCGCCCTTGGGCAAATTCACTTCTGCCTCAGTTTTCTCATCTTTGAAATGAGAATAATAGTTGTGAGCTATGGTATAGGCCTATTGCTGATGCTGTTATTGATAGCTTTTTGAGAAGTGCTGACACAGGTAAGGGCTTAATGAGTATTAGCTAGTACTCTTTCTATCTTCATTAATTATTACACAATCTAAGTCCAACCCACTATTCAAAGTGAACTTAATAAGATAGACATCAGATTGTGTGGCTCTCCTGCTGAAAAGCCTTCAGTAGTTTGTAGTTGATACAGACAAAAAGTCCAGAGTTCTTCAAGGCCCCGTGCGGCGTGACCTTCCGTTCCTCTGGCCCCGTCCGCAGTCATTGCCCACCGGCCTCCCATGCTAGGAACAGAGCACCTGTGTTCCTGGAGGAATTCTCCCCTGCCCTGCTCCGCCCCATCCATGGCATTGTACTGGCCTTGCCCTGGCCCTTTGCTCACAGCTCTGCCCAGCGCGCACATCAGCCCCACGGGGCAGGGGCTCCCCCATTTTGTCCCCGCATGGCCAGCACCTAGAATAGCTCCTGTACAAAGTGGTTGCTCGATAGGTGTGTACTCGTTGAATGGGTGAGTGAATGAAACAAACTGATTCCCAGTTCTAATGCTTTGTGTGCTTTCAAACGTATCAAATAAAGATCTTGTACAGATATTGTCAAAGTAAAGTTAAATTTGGTTAAAACCATCAGAAGCTTCTTTGGAGTTTAATGAACATAGCACAGTGGAAGAAAACACTGGGCCCTGGTTCTCGTTTTATTTGTGCCACTAAAAATGACTTGGCTTCTGAGACTCTGCTTTCCTGTCCATAAAATGTGGCCAGGACGGGACCCCTTTGAAACCCCAGGGACCGGAGAAGCTGCCCAGCTGAGGGGGGTGGAAAAGGGGGTGATGGGGGCATTCTGAGCCCCTCCGCTTTAGTTAGAGCAGCTTTCTTTATGTCTTTTTTATATATTGGGGTTTCATATGAAATTTGGTTTGACAAAAACAAAATCTGCTTATAAAAAGTTTCACAACCACCAAATTAGAAGAGCATGAGGTTATTTTTCCTTGATTGATTCTGGTAGCTTAACTATGTGAAGGATATTGTTTCTTCATCATTCTCTGTTCCTTCCTCTCCCAAAGAAAAGCTCATCGAATATTTTTTGAAATGTTCTAAAGAAAACTATGATATGTGGGTAAATAACAAAATTGTGCTTACAGGAAGTGAGCTATATGCAAACAAAGACCAGGTCTGCCAACTCACTACTAACATACTCATTGCTTAGCGCAGTCCTGAAGCAAAGCTCACTCGGTGTTTGTTAGATGGATGGACAACAGACAGGTGGATACTTGAAGTGAGCCGCAACTATTTTTAAGTGAGAATATATTATTTTGTAATAACTGGTGAAAATATATCTTAAACTATGGAGCTTTTATAAGTGAAATCTTGTTTCTTTCCAAGGTGATATTTATTGGATATTCATATGTAATAGATCATCTTCAAACACTGCTAAATGCCAAACTTATTGTACTTTCTTTAATTCCTCATTTATTTTCTGATGTTATTTAAAATAAAGCTAAAAGTAGCCAATAATGATTTTCTCTTTCTTTTTTTTGTTTTATTCTTTTTTTCTTTAAAGGAGGATCCTCTTAGAATATTAGCTTTAAAAGAAAGAGTACTCTTTCTTTTTATGATAACAGTTTTACTGTGGAAGGTACTTAAGATAATGATGATGATGATGATGATAGTAATAATACTAACAATAGGCTATTGGGGACAACTTTAGATCACAGTTGGTCATCAGTTGACTTTTAAATTTGGCAGATCTGCTTGAAGTTGGTAAGAAATGTTTTACTGAGATTTCAAAATCATTTTAGTCAAGGTCAGCTAAAATGAAAGTAATGGCAAGACATTGAATAACTGACCTGCAGGATTGTTTTAGGAATAGAAATGAGACTATCAGCCTTGCATTCTTTTTTTTTTTTCCCCCATGATAAAACATGTCTTTTTATTGAATTTATTGGGGTCACATTGGTTAATAAAATTATATAGGTTTCAGGTGTACAGTTCTATAACAAATCATCTGCATATTGCATTGTATGTACACAACCCCAAGTCATTTACCCATCCTTTAGCCTCTCTACTTCTCTACTGGGGGAAGTAGAGAGCCTTGCATTCTTGAAAAAGCATGTAACAGTATGTCTTAACAAAATATAAGAACCATATGTTACACAATTGTATGAACTTGACTCGTAAGGCTATAAAATATCCCCATATGCACATTACCTAATAAGATTTTCAATTTTGGTATGTCTTACTATCAGTCTCTCTAAATGCTTCTCTTAGGCCACTGTAATTCTGTGTGTATGTGTATGAGTGCAAATAGAAATATGCAGTTATTTATAGTGTGGTTCTTATGTTTCATACTATTTACTCATGTGTTTACGTTACTTATGAATTTGTCTTTCCTGTTAGGTAAAGAGGATGAATTTCCAAAGAAACCTTTGGGACAGCTTCCACCTGAATCTCAGTTTGCTGGCATTAGTCATCTGAGCAATGGACAAGGCTTTGGCAGGTCAAGTCCCCATAAGAACATCAGAAGAGAGAGTGACTCCTCACCTCACAAGAAATCAGAGCATTCCCCTCACCATCAAAGTAGAGTTGGTACACCAGAAAGAGTGAGGCAGCCCAGGCGGAAATCGGTGGATGAGGATAGTAAAAAGCTTAGAGATGAGTCAGATCTTCAAAGGAGACTTCCATCAGGTCCACAAGACAATGCCAGGCAATATGATCATGCAGCTGCTAATCAAAACAGCAATGCTACTTCAAATATCAGGAAGGAATTTATGCCGAAATGGAATAAACCGTCAGATGTTTCAGCTATTGAAAAAACGGCCAAATATGCCACTGAAGGCAAAAGTCGATCGGCACACCCCATGCTTACAGTCACCATCCCATGTTCCACTGATGCTCGAATGTCCAACGCGCGGCCGAAGATGAAGGTCTGGGATGCCGAGGAAGGGAAACGGGGCTCGAACGCATCGCAGTATGATAATGTGCCTGAGAATGAAAATGGCACGTCTGTTGAAGAGGCACTCGGAAGGGCGTACTCTCAGAGTCCAAGGACTATTGTTTACGCTCACAGTCCAAGAAAGCTCGCTGAGCCAAGTTCTAGTCCATCAAAAGTATCAAACAAATTTACTTTTAAAGTACAGCCTCCAAGTTATGCAAACTATCCAACTCAGTTAGATGGGGAAGATCACGGGACAATACACCCCCCATCTTACAGCAATCCCCCTGTTTACCATGGAAATTCTCCAAAACACATCCCTGCCGCTAACAGCAGCTTTGCTTCTCCACAGTTTAGCCATGGCGCGCAAATGAATCCTTCCAGGAAGCCCTATGGTTCTAGTTCTACTCTTTCCATCAGTGTTTCTCCAGAGAAATCACAGAGCCGCCCAACTCCTCTCGTCCTGCCATCTAGTCGAATAGAAGTTCTTCCCATTGATATTGGTGCTGGGGGATATTCGGGCAATTCAGGGTCCCCAAAGAATGGAAAATTCATCATTCCTCCAGTGGATTATTTGCCAGATAACAGAAAATGGTCAGAAGTCAGTTACACATACAGACCTGAGATGTCTGAACAGTCACGGACTCAAGATGCTAACCGTAGCCACTTAAGCAATTTAACAAAATATTCTGCCTTTCAACATGTACCCTTTCAGGACCATAACCTCCCCGCAGTTTCCGTGGATAGTCCATTGCGGTATAGAACATCCCCAGCTTTAGAAGACGCCAGTTCATCTGGGTATCCATATGCAGGGCCCGCGGCTCCAGTGTATCACTACAGAAACCGGGATGGGCTTTCTATTCAAGAATCAGTATTGCTGTGAGACTTCATCTCTAGTTGCTTAAGACAAGAGAATAGACACCATACAGAACCTACATTGCTATGTTTATAATTGCCAAAGCAGTATTTTATACCATTGTAAACAACTCGCACAATTCTTATGTATGTTAGTAATAAGAATAGATGGAAGTGTTTCCCTCCCCCTGTAGATGCTGCTTAAGGTGAGCATTTTAAATCACATCATCACTGAACCTGTTGATTTAACATGGAAACATAGCAATAGCATATAGGGATGCACGCAAAGCAATCATTCACTACTCAGTTTCATTTGTAGCTTTCTCCAAAATCTGATCCCTTTTACTCTATTAGCCCATTCTATTTTGAGAAATGTTACAAAGCACTGAAAAACTGTCTGTGTAGAGTAGATATTTTTAAGGCTCTATGTAGTGTATGTATCTCTTCATAGTTAATAGGCATCTATGCATACACATTTGAACACAGAACTAATGAAATGTTTAAAAAAAAAAACCCCAAAACACAACTCTGCTTTGACTCTAGATCCATGGAATAATTTATTTTTCTTCTTTTCTTTAACTGGTTTTTCAGTGAAGTTTTTCCCCCCTCATGTTTTTAACCCATATCCTAAACTGACTTAAGGGTTTGCCCTGACTTGATTAATTCAAATCTCACAGAATGGTCGTATTTTTTCATTCCGTTGCTAACATTTTTCTTTACTCTGAAAACTAACGACATTGGAGAAAATGGCTAACCCCTTAATGATGCTTAAGAATTGTGGCAGTTAAAGTAAGCTTATGGCAAAGGTGCAGCAGTGCCCCGATAGCGCGGAGATGGGCGTTAGTGCCCCTGCGCCCTCTGTTCCGGTCTGACGGTCTGACTCTCGCAGAGCTCACAGCGGCAGGTCCCTTGCCAGACGCAGAGGAAGGGCTGTGGAGCCCTCAGGGGAGGCTGCAAATTACTGTTGGGTGACACAACAAACTACTTGCAAATTCCTTTGAAACCAGGATTAACAATTTGGTTACTTCTTCTGCCCCTCAAATTCCTGCAAGGCTTCACTACAAAACATGGGGTGGTCATTTACATGATCTTTTTCCTGGCACTCTTTTCTTTAAAGAATGTAGTCAGTGGGTATTACTGCACTTAGGCCATTAAATTATCAGTGTATAAAATTGTAAAAAATGACCTGAATTATTAACAGGAATCTAAGATTTTGGTCCTGTTTTAAAAGTATGACTTTCATAATTTCAAAAATCTTTTTTTTGTTCAGTGACAAAAATTTAGGTCCATGTTAAAAAGAAATTAGTAATGTCTTTTAAAATATTCTATTTACACTACAGTTACCAAAACACTGACAAAGTTTGGAGCATGCCAAGAAAGTATGACTTTGTGTTTAATCGGAGAGCTTGTTTTCAACATTACTTCGCTCACATTTGAATAATAGAGTAGAAAACCTAATATTGCGGGCTCTTCTTGTTGAAAGTCGGGGCTTTAAGCTTTCAAGGTACAGAAGTATGTCTTTTAAAATGAAAGTTAACATTTGTGTAGCTAGTGAATGTGATGATATTTGTTATGTATATAATGAGTCTAATGTAATTTTAATCAACTTGGTAATGATGTTATGAAATGGCAAAACAAATGAAGTATATTAGCAGGTGAAAACTACACTGAAGTGCAAACAAAATCCTGACATCACTGGGCTCTCGATTCAGATCATGTGAACCTTAGAAATAAATGTATATAAAAATGTAGCTGAGGATATTCATTCTAATTTTTAAATCATGATTCTGTGACTTGTAATAAACCAAGCTGTACAATTTAGTTCATAATAGCAGCACCTGAGCTGCTCCTAAATCTATATATCAACAGTGGTAGATACTGTAGATTTATATATATATGTATGCAAAATATGTATACACACACACACTATTTTCTTATGTCATCTATGACATTTTTTATCTGTATACTTTTCGATGTGATTGTTTTTAACATGCTAAAAGTAATACATATATGTTGTTTGTGTCTTTCCTGTGTTTTTATTCACACGACTGAAGTGCTGCATCCCTCATCCTTCTGAGGCTAATTGTCTTCTAACTGAGTCGATATTGCCCAGTGTTTGCTGACATGACTGTATATATATCAAATACTGTGTTATGTACCTTATTAATTTCCAGTAGTGCTGTGTTTAGAACTATAGCATCTGTCCTATATATTATTTAATCTGCCATTATTAACAGCAATAAGGTATTATTTCCAGCCTTCCCCATTACAAAGTATAGATCTCTATGTTACTTTTTCAAATAGGAAAATTTAATTTGAAGTTATTTGCCACAATTCAATTTTACATTTTCAGATTTATTTTTAATAAAGATAAATAATGAAGAAATTATAAATATTGGTAAAGTGGGTTAAAATATATTAATGAAAAACATTTGGTAAGAGTTTTTATGAGTGGAGACTGATTTTACTCTAATTGCATGTACTTGTAAATATTTTGTTACTAAGTCTTCATGGCAGTTTTGCCTAAAATAATAAGCACTTTGGTATAGTTTATATTTTTTTAATATTTAGTTTGAAAAGTTAAAAAAAGTAGACCCAGAGTCTCAAATGATTTTTAAAATTTGACTCTTTCAGGAACTTATGTTTTCTGTAGGATTTTTTTTTTTTTTTTAATGATAGCTTTTTAAAGCTAGGAAATAACATGTAAAGTCAGATATCAAAGTATTGTAGGGGAGGAAAAAAATATTTTTTTGTCTACCCTTCTAGGTTCTCCAATGGAGGCCCTGTCAATTGGACTGACAAGAAGCAGATGAACAAGGGAAAAACAAACAGAAGTTTATTAACCTGTTTATCATGCATTCAAATGGGAGGACCCAGTGATGAGGCGGGGCAAATGTAGAGTCTAGATACGCAACCTAGCGGAGAAGGGTTAGGGAGAACGGCCCATATGGAAAAGTAAGTGACTTTTTGGAAAATAGATAGGCTTTCTGGAAAAATAGATGGGAGATACGATAGTTTGTGACAAGTCCGGGTGTGGTGTCAGAAGAGATTAGAGTTGCCTGGGAAAAGGATGTATGACTATTGCGTTCTTCGGTGAGGTTCTGCTTTTTGAGGCATATAAGGGTTTTCAGGAACTCAAATACCTTCAGCTCAAAATCTTATGCCAAAGTGGCAATATTTTGGGGTGACATGTCCTGATCCCCTTCAGCATCAAAAATAAAGGTTTTTTTTTGAAAAAAAACTAAAAGAGATTTTATATTTCTGGAGAAGAAAAAGGGATATTTACAGAATGTGATGTGATTGTTTTAACTTTTTTTCATTTTAAGAAGATTCTAATACTAAATTTATGTTATACTCAGTATAACTTTAAAATTGACTTTCATATCTGTAGTTACCACAGACCTCTTCCTCAGGGCCCATTATAATTCAGGCATAAAAACAGTACTTCATCAATACTGCCCTGAGATCTCTTTTCATACTGGAGAAAAACATTCCATGTCCATAAATGGGGCTTTATTCATAGAGGACCTAAGCTTAAGCTTCTGGAAATATTTGTACTCTCAATTATCTTTTAGACTCACACCTTATTTTAGTATGCACTTGATTGTGAGTTATGATTATGATTTTGAGATCTGTTTTTTTGTTGTTATTGCTTGTTTTAATTGGTCTTTAATGGGTTGTAAATGTCCATCTCTAATATGGTTATAAATGCTTATTGACAAGGTGATTTTAGTAAGTCAAATTTTACTCTTACAATGACACAGGTATTGCATTTAGGTAGAATGATTCCATTTAGAATTTACAATTTTACTTTCAGAATGATTTCAGTTCATTATAAATCTAAGGATAAGTTGTCACCATTTTATAGATAAGAACACTAATAAAGGAACAAAGTTTAGATTTCATAGGAGTGAATCTCGACCCCTGCTGCTCCTTAGAATTATATGGGAACGTAAAAAAAAAATTTGTGTGCCTACCCCAGGCCCCTTAAATCAGAATGGCCAGGGTTGATTCCAGGTATCAGATAATTGTATTTTTCCCCCATTCTGTCAGTTAAGCTGTTTTTTAAAAATCCTTCTAAAGTTGATTGTCCTATATTCCTACCATGAGCTGTCTCAAAAACTCTTCACAGATCAGTTTGAGTTTAAAGACTCTAATTTTAGGTAAGTTAGGAAAAATTCCACTGGAAAGATTAATATTACCAGCAATTTCTATAAATTTTGATGAACTACTGACGGTTGTCGAAAGTATAAATCCCTTCAAATGGAAAGAGGCATAACCCTGTGCTGTCTCTCATTACTGCTTACAACAGTTGTACAAAATAGCTAGAGCCTTGTTTGAATTTCCATTTCCCTAGACAGCCTCTGTCATTTTCCTGAAGTGACATGCTGAAAAAAGGCCTACGTTGTTTGGAAGCTTGCATGCACTTTCCCCATGTGAGGAGCTGAGGAAATGCTTCTTAGACTGGTTACTCACTTGACCAGTCAGCGTTTTATGAAGCACCCCCAGTGATTCATCCTAGGAACTGTGCTAGACTCACATTTGAGTATCAGAGACAAGTTGTATCACCTCTGCATCCCCGTTCAGCATTGGAGACCTGCACAGACGAACGTTGCAGGCACAGAAGGCCACAGCTAAGAAGGCTGAGAAGCTTGTGGGGGAGTTGCCTCAGCTGCACCTCATGGGATTCATAAAGTGGACAGAAAACGGGGAGGGAAAAGGGGGCATTCCTCCGCGGGGAAGGCATGAGAAACTGCATGGCCCACGGGGGAACGTTTGCTACTTTGATGGGTGGGTGTGGGATTCCACAGAGAGACCAGATTTTGGAGAGCCTTGTATGCCATTGAACTTGGTCCTTCCTGTAGGCAGGTTTTTCCATTGTTACATTCACACTACCTGTGTGGTCCCTAGAAGCAGTGGGGCCTAGATGTGAGGGAACAAGCTGAGAGGAAGGAGACTGAGGCAAGTGTTCTGGCCAAACGGTGGTACAGAGGCCAGGGAAGAAGTTTCAAAGAGAGGGTGATTAACTTGAGAGCTAATTACTAAGTAAAATGGGCAAGACCTGGTAATTGTTGGACATCATAGCAATCATAAGAAAAGTAGCTAAAGTTACTGAATACTTACATGTTTGGCCCTGCGTAAGCATTTTACCCATATTAACTTACTTAATTCTCACAATAACTATAACATATGTACTACTCTAAGTCCCAGTTAACAGATGAGAAAACTAAGGCACAGATCAGATGAAGTAACTTAGTGACACAGCAGTAGGTAACCGCAAGGACTTGAATCCAAATGGTCTGAATCTCAAGTCTGTCCTGCACCCTGCAAAAAAAAAAACAAAACTTTGAAGAGCCATAGTGTACCTCACATAATATTTCACTCATTTAAATGTACATTTCAATAAGTTTTTCATAAATTTACAGAGCTGTGCAACAAACCTATTGTAGAACATTTCCTTCACCTCACAATGATCTCCTGGGCCCCTTTGCGCTCCATCTGCCTTCCTGCCCCCAGTGCCAGGCAACCACCAACCCGCTTTATCTTTCTGATTTTCCTTTTAGGGACAGTTAATAAAAGTGGAATCGGACAATACGTGGTTTATTTTTGCATCTTACCTTTCACACTTAGCATAATGTTTTTGAATGTTGTAGAATGTATTGGTACTTTCCTTTTTGCTGAATTGTATTCCATCGTATGGCAATATTATAATGTGTTTATTCATTCACTGGCTGATAGGCTTGGATTGTTTGTGAACTGATACAGCCATTTGTGTACTAGTCTTTGTGCATGTTTTCATTTCCCATGGGTATACAGGAGCGCTATTGCTGGCTTTTATGGTGAGTTTATGTTTGATTTTTTGAAAAACTTCCAGACTGTCTTCCAAAGTGTCTGCACCACTTTACATTCTCAACAGAAAGCAATGTATGAGCGTTTCAATTTCTTCATATCCTTGTCAATACTTGTTATTTTGTACTTTTTTTTATTATGACCATTCTAGTGAGTGTGTAGTGATATTTCATTGTGGCTTTAATTTGTATTTCTCTAATAGTGATCTCGGCCATCCTTTCCTGTGCCTGTGGGCCAAAGAAATGTCTATTCCAATCTTTTTCTCACTTAATATCGGGTTGATTTATTATTTCACAGTAAGAGTTCATACTGTATTCTGGATACAAGTCATTTATAAGACATATGATTTGCAAATATTTTCTGCCAATTTGTGACATGTATTTCCAATTTCTTATTGGTGCCTTTTGAGGCACAAATGTTTTTAATTTTAGTGGAGTCCAATTTATCAGTTTTTTCTTTATGAATCATGCTTGTAGCATTGTTTCTCTGCCTAACCCAAGGTTACAAAGGATTTTCTCCTGTTTTATTCTAGATGTTTTATACTTTTAGCTCTAACATTTCAGTCCACAAGCCATTTTGAATTAATTTTTGTATATGATGTGAGGTAAGGGTACCTGTGTCAAAAGTCAATTGATTTGTTTATATATCGGTTTATATTTTGAAATCAGGAGGGACACATCCTCCAACTTTTTTTTCCCAATTGTTTTCACTACTCTGGGTCCTTTGCATTTCTATGTAAGTTTTAGGATCAGTTTGTCAGTTTGTGCCAAAAAAAAAAACCAAAAACAAAAACAAAAACCCCGCTGGGATTTTCATAAATATTGTTTTGAATCCATAGATTCATTTTGGAATAATTGCCTTCTTAAAAATATGAGTCTTCCAATTCATAAACATAGAATGTCTCTCCTTTTTTTTTTGATCTTTAATTTCTGTCAGCAATGTTTTCTGGTTTTAGTACACATCTTGTGTTTCTTTTGTTAAAATTATTTCTGAGATTTTCTTTTTCTTGCTCTGTGAATGGAATTGTGTTCTGTGGAGCCAGGGTGCTTCAACACTGTTCTGTACTGGTGA